TTGTGAATTATGTTTTCCTAAAATAAAAAAATAAAATGTAATTTCATTATAATTTATATTTATATATTTATTTCTCATTGTTTGTTGTTAGTGTAAACATATAAGGTAGTAAATGATTGATTAATTGTGGAGATATGTTTGCAATTTCTATTTCAACATCCATTTAATACCTAAAAGTTTGATATGCGAGCAAAAATTATAAAGGTAGTATAACAAAGTTGATATGTAGTTTGACTAAATTATTATAGATACCTAACATGTGTGGCTATATTTAATTGTTTCTCATATGTATAATAAAATACAATATAATGAAAGAAATCAACAGCTTAACAAATCTTTAATCAATGGACTCTATAACAACAGTATCATTCAAATAAAATAAATTTATTCAAAGATATCATATGATACATATATAAATATAATTTAAGAAAATAAAATAAAATTATATTCTCTATATCTAGTAATAAATTTTCGTGGAAGTTTTATATTTACATCAAATTTGTATTGATATCTTAACATTTTTCATCTTATGTGGTACACAATCCATTTGTTAGTTGATAACTTAATATTTTACATAAATGAGTGAGTTAATTACTCCTTGCACGGTCCCATTAAAAAAATATATCCCATTTAACGAGAGCAATAATTTTTTTGCACATCAGGATCAATTAAGTCAAAATTACGATTGTTTTTAACATTTCAATTCCACTTCTCGCATTTTCCTTCCCTCACTTCTCCTCCTCCTTTCTCTTTCACTTCTCCTCCTCTCTCCTCTTCCTTTCTCTTTCTTTTTTCTTCTTATTTCTCCAAATTCGGATGTGTGTGGGAACGACATAGATCCATGTTGATGGGATAATATGACTATCTTTTCCACAACTTGCCACCGCCTCCGCCTCCCACGCGCTCCTGTTCGGACCTCTCTCAACCGACCGCAAGCTTCACACGGCCGCTTAGACAGTAATTAGCCAATAGATCCACGCCGGTGATGAAGGTGGTAATCGAAAAGGTGTGCTTTACTATTTTTTTTTTTTTTTGTTGGGGATCTCATTGATTGGCATTTGAATCTCAGATCTAGTTGGATTTTATTTGAATTTTTGCTTAATTTTCCTTTGATTTTTGAAACAACGATTTGATTTTTCGCTCTTGAATGAAAATTCTCGTCGGATCCCCAGTTGGTTCATTGCGAAAAATTGTTGACGAAATTTCAACGCTCGAAATCCTAGACACAAACCAAATAGATGACCAAAATTCTTTGTAGGTTGGGATGTTGTTCGAGGATTTGTCGAGATCACGATGCTTGTTGGGCATACTACCCTTTCGGATCCCTGCGCCGGCATTATATTTTTAATATGTTGTGCACATATCTGATGTAATCTCGGTTGAAAGAATATTCATTTATGCTGGGTTTGTTTTTAGTAAATAGTAAATTTGATGTTTATTGATGTATTATGGTCATTGTTATTATTATTATTATTATTATTGTTATTATTATTATTATTATTATTTGTAGTTTATGTTCAGTTTTATTTTTGTATATGAGTTTATTGTGTATTTGCTTGTTCTTAATTTAGTTAAAATTGGTAAAAAAAAACTTAAGATAAACCGTATGGTTAATGATTTTTTTCTTATTATTTGTAGTTTATATTAATTTTTACTTTGTATATGAATTTATTGTATATTTGCTTGTTTAATTTAGTTAAAAATTGGTAATGAACTTAAGATAAACTGTATGGTTAATGATTTTTTTATTATTATTTGTAGTTTATCTTACGTTTTATTTTGAATATGAATTTATTGTATATTTGCTTGTTCTTAATTTAGTTAAAAACTAGTAATAAACTTAAGATAAACTAGTAATAAACTTAAGATAAATTTAAGATAAACTGATAATAAACTTAAGATAAACTTAAGATAAACTGTAAGGATAATGTAATAAACCTAATATAAATTAAAAATAAACTAAGAAAAGTTGACTGAAGAGAAAGAAAAAGAAAATTTGAGAAGCAAAAGAGCGTCGATTTGAATTAGAAAAGTAATTAGAAAAGGGATTGCGTCCAAAATGGAATTGTTTAAAGATTCTCGTCTTTGTGGTAACTGTTTTTGAAAGAAGTATAAATGTGTCCTTTAGCCTAAATGATTCCATCACAATATTTTGACAATCAAATGTGCTCTAAGCCCAAATACATAAAAAAATTAAGAAGATTGAAATGAATGTTGAAAGTTATTTATAATTATATTAGTAGCCCAATAAATTATTTATAGTGTAGGCCGTCTTTGGCAATTCAAAATTTTCAAGATATAACTCACATTTATTTAAAAAAAAAGCTCTAGATAAAAGTAGTTTATATACTTTATAATGTAATCAAGATGTGAAAATGGTTGAACCTTCCGAACATCACCAAGAGGTTTTGACAAACACTTAAGAGGTCTTTCATAGTTGGAGGAGTGTACTTATTCCATCCTTTCTTCAAACATTACTCACAAAATTTGACTCTATAATGGTGACATTTTTTTGACATTGATGCATTTCAGTCTCCTGTATGAGATATTGTTCTCTATCGACGAAGATTGTTCGAGAAAGCACCTGGCTTTTGTAGATAAGTTTATATACAAACACACCTTTAATAAGGGATAAAGAATGTCAATATTTCAGTGGCCATGTCTAATTTTTAACTTCCTAAAAAAATTAAACTTATTGTTAATTAATCGCACCGGCCCAGGCTTGTATTAGCCAACTATTTTAGGTAGACATATCAAAACGGGCTTAGGTTTGCAGCCAGCCCACCCCACTCCGCTAAATAGGCAGGTTGGATTGGTATTTTAAAGGTCTCCCAAAGAACCGAGCCTAAGCAGGCTAGCTCACGCGGGCTGTGGGTTTTTGTAGGCTGGGCTAGTCGGGCCGAGGGCCAGCCCGCCATTGAAAAAAAAAATTACTTTCGAGTTTAAGTATTTAATACAAATACACGGTCGCTTCTTATTTTCTTTTCCTTTCTTTTCTCTAAGTGTGTTTGGTTCAATGGAGGGGAAGGGAGAGGAGGGATTTTAATGGAGGGGAAGGGAATTGGTGTTAAATAATTTTACCTTGTTTGGAGGGGTTTTGTTGGAGGAGAATGGAGGAAAAATGATAAACCTTGTTTGGTAAGAAAGTGAAAGGAGAGGGAAAATAATGTTAAAATAACAAATATATCCTTAATGATGTTATAAATAAGAACTTACATATTATATAAAAAGGGTAAAATTATAATTTAATGCATTCCCCCACTTTTGGAGGGAGCAAAAATGGGGAGGGGAGAGAATTTTAAGTTAAAATTTTCCTTCCCCTCCTATCCAAATTCCCAACCAAACAAGAGAAAAATAAAAAAGGAAAAAAAAAAAATTAACCTCCCAAAGTATGCCATTTTTTTGAGTTTGCCATAAATTTTTTTTTTTTTTTTGACAATTTGCCTTCCAATGTAATCGAAACTGACAACTTGCCTCCTCGATTAAAAACCCTAATATGGCACAAAAGAGTTTTTAACTCAATTAATGATAAATTTTATATTAATCTTTAATATTGATTTAGGGCTTCTAAAGCCTATGACGAGACGAACAAAATGAGAAATGATTTGTCGAATTTTAAAAATTGATACCTCTATAATCGATCCACGAAGATAGTAGGAGCACGTGTGTATAGAAAAAATTTCAATTCAGGTTTTCTGATAATCAAGATATCTGATTTTCGATTGGGAGGTGTCATTTCAAAGCTAGTAGGACAAATTTTATAACGCGTAAATCTTATGAAAATCCAACGGTCGGATATTGATAAGTATTTTGAAAACTACTGATCAGTAGTTAGCCTTTTTTTAGGCTACTAACCCAAATCCGACCGTTGGATTTTCATAAGATTTATTTTGATAGAAAACTCGTCCTTCAAGCTTTCAAATGACACATTCCAATCGAAAATCGGATATCTTGATTATCATAAACTTGAATTGAAATTTTTTCTATAACATACGTGCTCCTACTATCTTCGTGGATCGATTTTAGAGGTATCACTTTTCTGCGACAAACCATACCTTATTTTGTTCGTCTCGGACTTTAAAAGCCCTAAATCATTTTTAAAGATTAGTTTAAAATTTATCATTACTTGAGTTAAATTTTTTTTTTGTCATTTTAGGATTTTTAATCGAGGAGACGAATTGTCAGTTCAATTACATTGCGAGACAAATTATCAAAAAATAAAGTTTTTATGGCAAACTAAAAAAATGTTAAACAAAATTTCCCAATAAAAAATGCCCTCCCCTCCTTTTTCCCCAACAAAACAACCACTAAAGTTTTTTTACATCACAAGATTCACATCAAATCACAGAGACGCACACGCACGGGCCTTTTGCCCTTTGCTAACCCTAACCCCAAGTGGACTCTCATTTTCTCAAGCGCAGCCGGCAATCCTCTGGACCTCTCCAGACCGACCGGTGACCGGTGTGCGGCGGCGACCTTGGAGCGGCGACCGGCGAGCGACGAGAGGAGAGCGGGCTAGCGGCAGAGCAGTGAGCCAGTGACTCCAACTCCAAGCGGCAACGGCTACATCGGCAAAGAAGTTTCTTCCGGTAGTGATGGCTGAACTTAATTCTCCAAATGAACTGTGAATGTGATTTATGATTTGAACTGATTTGTGGATTTTGTTTGGTTTATTGAATTCATAATTCTGGAAATGAAATGGCTAAAACTAAATTCTCTAATTCTGAAATAAATGTGATTTATGATTATTGAATGATTTATGGATTGATTTTGGATTTTGCTCCCAGATTTTGCTTTACTAATAATTTGTTTAGTATCTTTTTCTTTTTTTTTAATCTATTATGAGGCAGGCCGGCCCGCCTAGCCTGCAGCCCGCGGCGGGGTTGGGCCGGGCTGCCATTTCACATGCCCAGATGGCGGGCCGGCCTGTTGTGACTGTCTAATTTTAGGTAACTATATATGTTTACCTACAAAGAAGTCTTTACTGAATCTTGCTAAGCTCAGGCACCATGGATGCCGAAATCCAAGTCGACAAAAATTTTCCATTATTTTACCGGAAAAAGTCAGCTTCCACAACCACCACCAATAAGAAATCCCCTCCATCAGAAATCACTGCCCCCGCTGCACAGAAAGTACTCGAGAAAGAGCTTAACCCTAACCCTACTCCAGCCAACATCACATTCTCCAACCTCGGACTCTCCGAATGGGCCATCAATACTTGCAAAGAGCTCGGCATGAAGCGGCCAACTCCTGTCCAGCACCACTGTATCCCTAAAATCTTGTCGGGCCAAGATGTCATGGGCCTGGCCCAGACGGGAAGCGGCAAAACCGCTGCGTTTGCTCTCCCTATTCTTCATCGTCTCGCGGAAAATCCCTTTGGTGTTTTCGCTCTGGTTGTGACTCCGACTCGTGAGCTGGCGTACCAGCTGGCGGAGCAGTTTCGGGCCCTCGGGTCTGGTTTAGGACTGCGGGTAGCGGTAATTGTGGGGGGGATGGATATGATTAACCAGGCCCAGGGTCTGATGCAGAGGCCACACGTGGTGATTGCAACACCTGGCAGGATTAAGGTTCTGATTGAGCAGAATCCGGATATTCCTGCTGTGTTCTCCAATACCAAGGTGATTTACCGGTCTTATTAATAAAAATTTAATTTAGGTCATTTTATTTTTATTTCTTTAGGTATTTGTTTTATTGTGTGATTATGTTTTTCATTGATGATTAGTTAGAAGGGGATGCCAGAGGAACTTGTAATTGAAAGATATTTTTTAGAAGAAATTAGCAATGAATATTGCCTTGCTCCTTGGTCCTCAAAATCTCTACATTGATTAGGGTAGGGATATGATGAGCATCCAAAATTTTATTGCAAATTGAAAGCAGAAGCAGCTAGCTTTGGCCTTGGATAATTTTATCAGTGGATGTGTCTGTTTTTCTAATCGGAATTATTAATTTTTACAAATTGTTTTACTTTGTATTATATGTCTTTTGTTAGTTTTTCCTTTTATGACTAGTTACTACAAGTCCAGCTTAGGTGTGGGATTTATTGAAAAAATTACCTGGAGATTTCTGTGACTGTACTTGCTACACCTATTTTTATTTATTACTATAATGTTATAATTTTTTCGGGTGTAAGGAGCTGTAGATGTGGTACATGTTTCCACTGAGATGGTCAACTTTGAATGTTGACATATTTTCTCTGTAGTAAATCTTGCACTGTAATGGCTGATGAAAGAATCTTGTTGCAGTTTCTTGTCTTGGATGAAGCAGACAGAGTCTTGGGTGTTAACTTTGAAGAAGAGTTAAGAGTTATTTTCCAGTGCTTACCTAAGAATCGACAAACTTTGTTGTTTTCTGCCACCATGACAAGTAATTTGCAAACATTGCTTGAGCTTTCGGCAAATAAAGCTTATTTTTATGCTGCATATGAAGGCTTTAAAACAGTAGAATCTCTGAAGCAGCAGTATGTTTTCATCCCTAAGAACGTGAAGGATGTGTATTTATTGCACATATTAAACAAAATGGAAGAAATGAGTGTTCGATCTGCTATAATTTTTGTCTCCACCTGCAGGTAAACTTTTTGTTATCCAGTGCAGAAGTTTCTCACTCATCTTTTATTTTATTCTGTTTCAGTAAGTCATGGCTACTAATTTTCTGATGAGGCTATTGATATGGTAGAAAATGGCAGAAAATGTACTTTGATCTTGATTCCAACAAATGTTTGGTCTGTGCAGGGGATGTGAGCTTCTGAGTTTGTTGCTTGAACAGCTTGATTTGGAAGTCGCAGCCTTGCATTCTCACAAATCACAGTCCCTGAGGCTTTCTGCATTGCATAAATTCAAATCTGGACAGGTCCCTATATTATTAGCGACTGATGTTGCCAACCGTGGTTTAGATATACCAACTGTAGATTTGGTTATAAATTACGACATTCCTAGGTTGTTACTTGATTCTTTCTTTTGGACTGTTTGTGACTTGTGACATTGGATCTTTTAGTATATTGTTAACAAAACTGAAATTCCCCTTTCTTTCCTAGGTATCCCGAGGATTATGTTCATCGTGTTGGACGTACTGCCAGAGCTGGAAGAGGAGGCCTTGCTCTTAGTTTTGTCACCCAGGTTTGATATAATTTTGATTTAATATTCAGCATTTTTTTGTTTTTTTATTTTATTGGTTCATGATATTTTCATTTGTACTAGTTGTTGTTTCATACATATTGATGGAAAGCTTCAGGATGAATCTTTGTTATTTTCAGCACAGACTAATTCTTCGAGATATATTTGACGGTGGTATTGTTTAGAATTAAATTATGCTCGCCATGGTGTTTTCTTCTTGGAACTCTGTTCAATGTTCAGTGTGCTTCCACAGGCTTCAAATTTAACGAAGAATCTTCGGATATACTCTTAACAGTGCCTTAAGCTTGTGAAACAAACCTAGTTTAATCAGTAGGGGACTAGTCTGAAGTATATATTAGGTTAGGACCAACTTGTGAAGCTAGCCCAAGTGAAACTGTTTCTATGTAAATATGTGCACATATATCTATCTTTTTTTTGATCTGTATACCCAGATCTTATTTGGTTTATTATTACAGTACCATTGGTATTTTGCATGCTTGCTAATCACTTTTACGATACATTGTGCAGAATGATGTCGAACTTGTGCATGAGATTGAAGCTGTTATAGGGAAACAACTAGATAAGTTCGACTGTAAAGAGAAAGAAGTGCTTGAGGATAACATTACGAGGGTAAGAATTTATGACCATGCTGAATTTTGTGTTTTTTTTGGCTGAATTTCTGTCAAACTGTTGTTAAATCTGAACTAAAATCATTGAACTTCTACATTCCTTTTGAAGGTATACAAGGCAAGACGTGTAGCAACAATGAAGATGATGGACGATGGGTTCGAAGATAAAGTCAAGGCACGAAAAGCTCAGAAACTAAAGACACTGGCGGAGAAAGGGCTTCTGGATAACAAGAAACGGAAGAGAGGAAAAAGGCGTAAGAAAGAATCTCATGAATGAAATCAGCCCAACTATTGTTTCTCGTTTTTGCATCGACTATATGTAGCTGCTACATTAAATGGGACTAGACTTCCCGGGGTGTTTTCAACTACTCTTTGAAGGAAAAGTGTTTTGGAAACTCTGTCTCACGATGCATCTTTTGTACTATTGCCTGTTGTATCATAGGAAATAGGAAAATTTTGAGAAAATTTCATTATAAGGCCTGATTTTTTAGTATCATGTAACAGTAGAACTTGAATTCTAAACTTTCTCAATTTTTTTTTATTTTTTCCAACGACAACAAACCAATATATTAAACCTCAAAAGGAAGTGCTCAAGTACAAACCAGACAATCAGTACAATACTAACAGCCCCTTACAAACAAGACTACAAAGAGCCAAACCAGAACAAAAAAAGACCCGAGCTTTAAGACCGGGACTGGAAGGAAAAGCAGGAAAAAACTTCAACAAACGATAGGCATCTGCAGCTATTACATAAGGATCAAACACCAAATTCTTGTTCAGTTTTGACACCAAGGCCTTATTATCCAAGCAGTAGCACACAGACCTCCAGCCAGCTTGCTAAGCTTTGAGCACATGGACCACCTCACAGCCTCAAGCCACATGCCTTCAGCACTTCAAACCACAGCATCTCCTTGAATGTAATAGAAGTTTCCCCCTCAATATCAGCAACACAAGTCACAACAATCTGGCTAAGTTAGTCGCAACCGCAAACTCTAACCACTCTGCCTTAGCTCCCTCAACTAACTTTCACTCAGCCTTTCTTGCCTAAAAACACCCAAGAGTTTCTAGTCTTCCAGAGCCACCAAAGAATATAGGTAGGTAAACTAATCCTATCTTTGAGGTTGGTAGACCAATTACTTCTACTCACTTCCTCCACTCCACTCAGCTTCCAGACCAACTTTGCCTTAGGATAGTTAAACAGAATGTAGTCAAGATCCTCTGAAGCTTCCCCACACAAGCAACAAGTACCATCACCCACCAGATTTCTGTTCAGAAGTTGATCATTTGAGCTCAGAAATTTTAAACCAGCATTTCCAAAGGAAATGTTTCAATTTGTTCTTAATAGGGAGTTTTTAAATAGAAACCCACACCTTCTTCTTGTTACTTGGTATAAGTTTGAATTTGTTCATTTGCATTCTGGGTAGAAGGATAGTGAGACCAATTCATATTTACTCATATAACAATGTGCCTCATAAAAAGAATTCCTCAAGGTATTGCAAACCACCTCTTGGAAGTTTACATTTGTTAAGCAAAATACACCTTCAAGCTAAGGGTATAATCATAAATGAAGTCCAATCCTAGAGCTTATTTTATAATTATTTCAAAAGATATGATCTTTTATTAATATTTTCTTAGACATCTCAGAAGATTTTTCACCACAAAAATGGAAAGAACAATTTTAACTTAACCTCAAAAACAATAAAATTATTAACAAAACAATTTGCCCATAGTGAGATGTACAAACAGCTCCACATTCATGCATGATGATATCTCCCGCGAATCTCAGGCCATTATTTCACAACTTTTTCATGCATCCTGCATTTTCTCTAGTGTCAGGTGTGTGTGTGTGTGTGCAATGAAATGAATAAATAGCTTTTGTTCTGTAAAATAGAGTTCGAACCATCATTTAATACCTACGAACTCCCCTTTCGAGTCTGAGCTGCAGAAGACATGACCCGCAACCGGCTAGCAATTTCAGTAAAACAAGGCCTCCCAACTGGATTCGGGGCCCAACACTGCTCCATTAACCTTCTCCATTCTGGATCACAGTAGCCCGGTATTGTTGGCCTCAGTGTATTATTCACAATCCCTCCTGTTGTTGCAGGAAATAAGACGAGTCTCGTAAAACAAATGAAAATTGGATGAGAAAATGCACAATTCATAGGGGAACAAATGAGATTCGGAATAGATCTAATATCAATTCACAATCACAAAAATATCTGTTTCTTCCTCCAAATATTTTTCCTCGCCTTCAGGCGAGTTTGAGAAAAAATCTATATCCTATCGCAATGAAAGATTTTCAGGCAATGGATTCACATCTAATATTAGACAATGAGATTTATATGAAATTAATCAATCATGAACTAGCATATTCCTTTGGAAACTAGAAGATCAAATTAAGCAAAAGGGACCACCATCAAGCGTCACATTCAGTAACTGCAGCACCAAATTTTGTCCAACGGAATTTTAAAAACTAAACCTATGATTGCCCCATAATGCATGTTGGCATACGGCTCCTCTCCAGTGAGTATCTCCCACAAGACAATACCAAATGAGAAGACATCAACCTGCCAGATGGATGAATATATCATTACGTAAAAAGATCATTGAAGTTGCTTCAACTAGTAGTATAATAAATGGAAGTATTATGAATAATATTAAAGCAATTTACACAAAGATTTCCTTTAACTTCTTTGGAGAATATTAGAAATAATGGAAGTTTCTGGTTATAAGGTCATTGTGCCACACAAGAAAAATCATTTTTATGACGATCCATTTTCCTGAAAATAGAAATTTCCGCAAAAACAAGGGAATATTTTTCAATTTATGGAAATTGGTGAGGAATGAGCTTACAGAATCGAGAACCAGTACAATAATTATTTACCTATCAATCCAGGTTATTGAAGATAAGACCTGTACATGGATCTTACCTTCTCAGACACTTTATTGCTACTGCCATTTAGCAGCTCAGGAGCCATCCATGGCAAGGTCCCCCTAACTCCGCCAGAAACCAAGGTGTTCCGTTTTATTTTCGATAGACCAAAATCACCTACCTAAACATTTGAATGGCATAATGAGACTTCATTAAATCACAAATTTGGTCAAGATCGTTTATTGAATTACAGAGAAGATCTTCAAATGGCTTAAAACCGCCTATTCCAAAATAAAATTCCATGAGAGACACAAATATCAAACCGTCTAGAGTGCATGAACACAAGTAGACAACCTTGCATATAGGTCTTGAAGGATCTTTTAAGTTAACGAGCAAATTGTCACATTTCAAATCAAAGTGCACTATATTTTTTGAATGCAAATATTCCATCCCAAAAGCAGCATCCATTGCAATTACGAGTCGCTTCCAGCGGTCAAGCTGTCTGCAAATTAGTGAAAAAAACAAATAAACATCTTCACACTGAAATAATTACAACAGACTGAAAGTGGGTAATAATCCAAGGTTAAGATAATAGTGCATAATTACCTACTGGTCAAACATGTTGGAGAGCTCGTGTGAGGCAATATTAATAAATGTTGGTTTACAAACACAATGCTAACAATTGATACCTATCCTTACGAAGTAGAGCATGTCTCAAAGATCCATCGACCATGTACTCTGTCACAGTAGCTAATGTCTCCCCTGGTCCATCGTGTACAACACCATAGAATGCTACCACGTTTGGGTGGTGAAGCTTCGAAAGAATTTCAGCTTCCCTCCAAAAATCATTAGTCTGAAAGTGAGAATAATCAATTTAACCATTTTAGCAACATTCAAAATTTCAAAATAGAAACATTGTTATCAACTTTCTTCAATTCAGTTTACAACTGTCATTTAAATTTTTTAAGCAATAGAATATCCAAAATTAATTTGGAATATCTCAAAGTTTAGGAGGAAAAAATCTTTATATAACATTAACAGAGGAGAGAGGGGCATAAGGAACAACTACCAATCTTTCTTGTTCTGATTGCCGACCAGTGAAGCAACTCTTCTTTATGCGCTTGATTGCCACGTCTGAGCCTCTCCATTTTCCATGATATACTGTCCCAAATGTGCCAGAACCAAGTTCCTTTAACTCTTCAAGATCTGCATTGTGTATAATCTGCAATTTATCCGCCACACAATCACGGAATTACTATTGATGACTTCAGATAAACTTAACCATTAAGTTAAAACCTTAGACCAAACACAAGATTATAACTAATTCAACGGTTAAATAAAACATATAATATACTTTCCCCAATTATTGTTCAAAGTTGAATGACACTAAACCACTTCAATTATCAACTGTTAAATACTGCCAAAAACAAGGACTAACCTGCAATGAGTTGATGATTTCAAAATCAACCAACAATTGATCTAGAGGAGCCAAGCTAATTTTCCCGAAACCCCCCTGAAATATTGATTAAGATCAGTAGACATATGGCTGGAAATCAGTTGCGTTCAATAGAGGATAGTTGTTATCAAAAAAGTCACCTGAGAACAAACCTCATAATCTGATTCCTGAATTCTCGTATTACCCATCAACTCACTATCCTGAATGCCGTCACTGAATTTCACTTGAGATGCATCATAATCCGAACGAACAGGCATAGATACAGCTGCATCTGCATCACGTACCTCTCTCTGATATCCTTTCTCCTCTAATCCTCCATGACTTGGCATGCTCTCACCTGTAACCTGTGGCACAAAATCATACGCCAAACGAGCGCCATCGTTAACTTTTGTAGAGAACATGTGGTCCTGATCTATAAGAGAGACATCCCTTCTCATGAACTGATCCCCTGCCAGTCTCTGGAAAAATGACCACCTTTGAGGCTCATGGCTTTCTATGTTCATGCTCAAACCAGTCCCATCCTTCGGCAGAGGACCAATGCCAGACGAGCCATCAGAAAGAATAGCTTTAGAGAATATATCAGAAAGAAGATCACGTGGGAATCTGTCGTTGATATCGATGAGTATGTCACCCTCAGGTTGAGGATGGCCATGAGTATCATTACTAATGGGCTGAGTTTCATTCATTCCTTTAGCATCAGGTGGATATATTGGATGTCCATTATTGGAAGTTTGTGGCTCGACATGAGAGGTATTATCAACATTTCCAGATTCGAATCTCCCAGCAGATTCAGCAACTAAATCTTGATTATTTAGAAACTGAGAACTGTGAGAGTCATCCGACTTTGAAATTCTATTAAGCTGCCCTGACTGTTCTCTAGGAATGCGCTCAGAATAAAAGGTCCGCTGAGGATGAACAAAGGTCTCTGAGCAGCTTGGATCTGTTGGATCAGATTCTGAAATGATCGATCGAGAACCAGAAGCGTTGCCAGTGGTATCATACTCATTGCCATCGGATTTAGGAAGTTTGGATGGATTATCAGCAGCTAAAGGATTTGAGACTTGCATTGTTACCCGGGGCACTCCTTCACACTTTGAGGCCTTCGATGAAAAATCCCTATCCAATGTGGGGACCAAGTGTGACCCTTCATCAGGAAATTTAACTTTTGGGTTGATACCATTTTCCAGTTGAACTAAGCCATTGAAATTGTGTTTTATCTCCTTTTCTTGCATTTCTGAGACCTGTGTACCCGAGCTACTAAGAAACTTCCCTTCATCACCTTCCTCTCGAGAAATAGCCCCATGAGTATTCCTTGTAACAGCACCATCTTCTGAAGGCATATGATAAGGAGGATGGTCGTGGCCAAATTGTGGAGGATGTTGTTGCCCGTGTTCACGACGAGGCATGGGTTGACCCTGATAGAACTGCAAACCAGTTTTGCCAACTCTGGAGAAACTTGACAAAACAAGTTTCGAAGATTCAGAAGCCGTCGGCTGGACAACAAGGCCCGCCTCGTTAGACGTATGGATGTCCTTCTCAACATTTCCCATGTCCAACTGACTAAGATTGTTCCCTGAGGAGCCCTTACACGGCCCCATTTCCAGTCCATTGACAGCAACCACATATTTCATCTCCGAATTAACGCCAGCGTCTGCCAGGCCAATATATGCATCTTCTATATCCACGCGTGAGAACAAAAAGATCCGGAGCCTTCCAGATCCTTCCCCTCCCAAGGCATTGCATTCCTCCATCATGTTCTGCAAATCCTCGTCCCCCGACACAGAAATCAAGGCATCGAGGTCCTCCCCAGGAAGCTGATACTTAATCACGTGGGTCCCACCGTAAACTGCCGTCATTTTCTCCCAGAAATCTCTCCACGTAATGTCTCTGCTGATCCGCACAATGCGCGTCTCCCCACCAACGTATCTGAGCTTCCCATCACTCGGCCTCGGCAAAATTCTTCCGCCAAAGCTGCACAAGATCTTGAGCTTCTTAAAGGAGGTATGAGAAGCGCCAGACGAGCTTCTTAAAGGCTTGTGGTCACCTGTGTGTTGTTGTGTAGACATATTCTCAGATTCTCTTGAGGTCTTTTCTATAGTGGCAACTGTGGAAATATCTGAACTGACTTCTGAGGAGGTTCGACTGATGCCTAAAATGCGTTTGAGCTCTAAGTAGCCGGTTGTGCAGCTGGGGTCGCCCGAGATATTTCCAACGAATGGGGTTCTGAGATTGACTCGGTCTCGCACAAATTCGAGAGCAAACTCCTCACCGGTTTGTATGGAGAAGTTACGCACGGGTTTATTTTCGGAAATGTTGATGCTTGAAGGGTTCAGAGACGTATTTGCTGATGCTGAAGCATCTACCTTGTGAAGTAGTGACTGTGGACCTAGGTTTTCGTCTAAGTGTTCCAACGAATATTGTGTGCCATTGTGAATGATTGATGGGTCCATATGAGATTGTAGGATTTATCGAGTTTCAAGTAGACAATCAACGGGAACGACTGTTGACACCACAAATTAAGCTGTGGCCTGTGGGTGACTTGTAAAGGCCACCAGAAGCAAAAATAGGCACAGAAATGGAAATACTTGGCTCAGAAACAAGCTCGCTGAATGTTTGTAATGCATAAGCTAAAAGCAGCCTTTTTGTAGAGCAGTTCTGATCAAGGAGAACCAGTAGTATTGATGATGATCTTTACCAAACCAACTGCCATTAAAGAGAAAGTTCCATGTTAAAACTGAAATCGTCAAGCAAGCACAAAATTTCTTCAGTTGAAATGCATAATGAGATAGTTCCACGTTCATTTTCAAATTTCCGATATGCCCAGTTGACTTTTCGAAGTTGTTCGGATTTTATGTTAACAGGAATTACATAAAGCTGAATGTGTTTGAATATAAATATAATTGTTAGTTGTAGGGCGATGATTGAAGTATCTAAATGCAAGAAGTTGATGAGTAGTAGTGAGGACCATGTATTGGTCTTCCAGATTTTGAAATACAGATTTCAAAAGTTTTAGTAAAAACAGGTAACACAGTGCAAAACTGTAAAGACAATCAATATTCCCTCCATATCTCTCTCCAAACAAACATAATCATATAAAGAAAGAACAATTCTTTCCAAAGAAGATAAAAGGCACCTCTATGACATTGTAATGTAAAAACATTATCCCATAAACAAAAGGATGTTTCATTTAATCATGGTTCTCTTTGCACAAAATGTATACATCACTTCCTAACTCTTTCACATAAGCTAATTACGCTTATTCTACAGCAGTCAAAAACACAAAAGGCACAGAAAAGGAAGGAAATATGAGGGGCAGAGGGGGAGAAGTAATTACCATTAGTCAGTTATACTTTTTTTAACAGATGTACATACTTTTATTCAGAGTGACATACTTTAAGAAACAGCATAGAGAAAGTATAACATTTCTTAATATAAGTACTCATTTTTTGTATAACATTTCTCTGGTCGACAAAGAAATTGTAACATTTCTCCGGTAGACAAAGAAATTATAACATTTCTCTGGTCGACCGCCTCAAATACACATTATATTTAAAATGCTTGCATGAAATGCAAAGATTAATCAACACAGGACTAATCCATGACTAAAATCAGCTGGAACGAGCCAGACAAACAGAGCTCAACAAACAATATATACATATATGGGCAGTCAATCAAAGGCTTCTCAGAAAGAACCCTAGTTACGAAACAAAAATGGACAGAAAAGCAGCAACAAGAGAATCAGTGGCAGGTATGCATGAATAAAGAGAAGCTGAGAAGATAAAACAGAATCAGTTGAATCTGAAAATTTGTAAGCTCGTACCACTGGAAGCCATTTGCTCTGTGAGAGGTGAGAACTGAAAGTCAGCATGTTAACATAATCCGCCATTAAAGCATCTCCATTTTCTGAAAAGGAAATATCCGAGTGCTGCTGGAAGATGGTGAAATTCAAAGGTATTTATTTATATAAGCGATGATTATAGACCCAACAAATGTGCTTATCCAGGTGAAACTTGAAACTTTTGGAGTTAATTATGTTTGGCCCCTGAATTTCCTGATATATACCAAAACACCCCAAGTTGTCAGTCAAAGGCCGGAATTTGCAAAGGTATATAACTTTATATAACCCGCGGGGCCCTTCATTTTCCAATAGTCAATACTGAAATCCATTCTTTTTTTAGATATGTGGTCGCAAATGTTTTGTCGGGCCCTTGAAGACCTTGAGAGGTTAGACCTAGTTTACTACCAATTGAACTATACGTTCGTTGAAAAAATTAAATTAGTAGATACATTTTTCAATAAAATTGAGCGTGATTAATAGTTAGACAATAAAAATACATTTTTATTGCTATTAATATTATTTTCATTTAAAATATCTTTAAAATATAATATTTATTAATAAAAGTATATATATTAAAAATAAATATGTTGTACTAATGACTACTTCTGCCTAATTGAAGAACGAATGTTATATTATTTGTCACTCAATCACACCAAAAAAAATTGTATAATAGACTCCGTATCACTCCTTCAGAAGGGTGAGCCTAATTTAATGTTAAGTTATTTTAGATTTGATTGAATTTATTGGATAAAGTGACTTAATTTTTAAAAAAGTTAATTGATTTTTGTTTGAGTGGATTTTGAGTATGTATTTAAATAATATCTAAAATATAATGGTTAAAATTAATGTGATGTAAGTAAGAAAGAAGTTATTAGAAGTGAGATAATATTTTCGGTTTAGTTAAGTTTGAGTTAGATTTTGAGTTAAAAAAAAGTTCTGGTCAATCATAAATGGATATTTTATATCCAGAGTCTAAAAGTCTCAAGGTATTCAATTGAAACTTTTTAAAAAGTTTGTATAAGTATATTCAAAGTATGAAGACTTTATGAAATTTTAAAATTGAAAGACTTTTGGAGATTTTTAACAAAATTACAAAGACAAAGTCTTAATAGAAATATCATCAAATTAGTGAGATTTTGTTGGACATATGCGACTCTTCAACAATTTTTTTCTACAAGGTTAAATGTGTACAACTATATATCTCATATTATTTTCATACTCAGTTGTTTTACTTATTTAACTTGATAGCTTGTATAACTTGCTTTTCATCACAAATGATTAACGTGATTTTTTTTTTACTATGGCTATTTTACTGTATATTTACTTTTATCGTCTCATTTGTTTTACTTTGAATTTAACTTTTAAAAACTCTAATTTTTGTATAATTTGTTCCTACTAAGAATTTCACTTCCATTATCATTGTCTTTTGACAATGTTTGTGTCTTGTAAAAATATAATCTTAATAATAATTTCCTAATACTACAGTATGATGAAAAAAAAAAAATTAATAATAATAATAATAATAATAAATAAAATTCAACAATAATCACATAAATATGTCATGACCGGATTGATTATGAGTGCCATTCCATCCGACATGAGTAATTGTTGTTTGAGTTTGTACTCGTTTAATAAACAAATATAAGGTTCAACTCAAGTTCGACCAGTTGAAGCGCGCAGAAGCTCGGATCCACTTGACTTGATTAATAAACCTAAAAACCTAAACGAGTTGTTTGTGAAAACAAAATACTTTTGCAAACAAGTTCGACAATTTTTATGAAGAATAAATAATTATTAACTGAGTAGTTCATGAACAATCTCACTTTAGTTCGTTTAATAAACGAACACGATTAGTTATTCAAGCTCGATTAATTTAAGAAAATAAATGAACCGAGGTTGAGTTTTCAACAACAGGACCAAGTTGTGCTCAATTTTATGGTTGATTCAAGTTTTTTTTATAGGATTATTTATTCATCTTTGATATATACAACTGCAATGATGCAAAACTTTCTTTTTTTATTTCTTCTTGTCGAACAATTGGTGTTTACTATCAAAACTTATTTATGTTTAGTATTAAAAAAACTAATTTAATTTTACTGATATTGGTTATGACGCAAGATTTATGAACATTTCATACAAACGTAATAGATATACTATAAGTGTACAAAAGCCTCAATAAAGATTAAAATGTACATGATGAAAGTTTTAAAAATTCTTTAAAAAGAATTTTATAAAAATCTCATAAAGTCCATCAAAATAATCAAAGTTTCAGAAAATCTATTAAAAACACTCACTCTAAAAAATCTAATTATTAT